TCCAAGATGGCGGGCACGATTTTTCGAATAATGGCAAGTTGGGTATCATTTTCAAGGTATTTGGGGGTGCTCATTACAAATATAGCATTTATTTCTAAATCCAAGATGGCGGACACGAGTTTTCAAATAAATGCAATATGGGTATCATTTTCGAGGTATTTGGGGATGCTCATTACGAATATGGCACTCATTTCTAAATCCAAGATGGCGGACACGATTTTTCGAATAATTGCAAGTTGGGTATCGTTTTCGAGGTATTTGGGGGTGCTCACTACGAATATTGCTTTTGTTTGAACTATCGTGTTTGCCATCTTGGATTTAGAAATGAGTGCCATATTCGAATTGAGCATCCCCAAATACCTCGAAACGGACACCCATAAAACATTTTTGAAAAATCGTGTCCGCCATCTTGGATTTACAAATAAGTGCTATTCGTAATGAGCACCCCCAAATATCTCAATAACTATACCCAACTTGCCATTATTCGAAAAATCGCGCCCGCCATCTTGGATTTAGAAATGAGTGCCATATTAGTAATGAGCATCCCCAAATACCTCGAAAAGGATACCCATATTGCATTTTTTTTTAAATTGTGTCCGCCATCTTGGATTTAGAAATAAGTACTATATTCGTAATGAGCATATTTTTTTTTCATAGGTAAGCATTATTATACTAGAAATCGTCACATTGGTTAAACTCTACCGCTCATTCGTAAGGCAGATTCCCCCGAGAAGTATGAGCAAGAAACTCTGGGGGTTGCTCTTTGTAATCAACATTTGTACGCATTTAACTTGCAGAAATGGAGGTCAAGTGCACACTTACATTAGAATAAAAAAAACTGCAGCCATCGCGATATTGCCTATTCTCAAAAAATTACGTAATATAATTATTTTGAAACAGAATAGCAAAATTGGGAGAAAGAAATCCGTTACTTTGCAACATTTTCGTGTCTTGTTGCAACGAAATTAATTTTCGGTTTTAGTGAATATATATTTATATAAAAATACAAGTTGAAACGCGTTACTTCCTTGTGGAATGTGATGTTAGTGTCTATTTGATGTTTGCCTGTTCTATTTTTACACCCATTTACCGCACATTTCGTCATTTTTAGCAAAAATTTTGGAGCTGTTCGCGGTGCAATTTGACTTTGAGCACTGACAGCCCGCCCGCTCGTGTAGGCCGTTTGGGAAGCCTCTAACTTGCCTCACTTAGCGTGTGCGGGCTAGGTTTCTATGCGTTATTATTCTAAGGTTATATCTATCCCGTAATACGATGAGGAGAGAGAGTATCACTCGTACGAGAAATATACAGCCACTTCCATGCCGCTCCATTATCTGCACACTAGTATACCAGCACTGGCATGAGCATTGCGATGGTGGTAACATAATATGGGATTAATGAATTCCTTTTTCACAATTACTACTTATTTTTTACGAGGAAAAAGTATTTAGACCAGTTTTTATAATTAATAATACAACTCAGGAAAAACAAATATGTTGGACTAATCAATGAATAGGTGTGATGAGATATTATCAGATACCACAAATAATTGATGATACTAGTAACGCAGATGACATTGTCTTTATATTCTGAAGTTAATCAAAACTTACAAATATCTTTACCATAGTCATCCTACAGTTCATCTTCTTCAAGTTCATCCTCGTCAAGTTCATATATCCAGCAGATCATCGGATTCTGAATGTTCGACTTCTTCTAAACGTCCCAATCGACATTCTCAGAACATAACTGCAGGTGTATCGAATGTATGTCGCCAGTTCGCATACACCAAAAAGAGGTTATCAGAACTCTGCGGAGTATAGACGTAAATAAGGCTAGCGGGCCAAATGAGGTTCTAGCAATAATCCTGCATGACTGTGTGCTAGAGTTGTCTCCTGTTCTCACACGCTGGTATCGCCTCTCACTAGAGACTGGTGTAGTCCCGAGGTACTGGAAACTTGCAAACGTGCAACCTGTACCTAAAAAGGGAAGCTGAGCTGACTCTGTCATTTATAGACCTCTTTCAGTCACTTCCATACTCAGCAATACTATGGAACGTGTACTTAACAACCGTATCCTATCGTACCTTGAAGATAACGATCTCCTCAGTGATCGCGAGTAAGGATTCCGAAGACGGCGATCTACTAGGGATCTTCTTGTGTATGCTTCTTATTTATGGAGCGAGACTACAGAAGGGCTATCAAAGCCTTTGCCAGCCAATTCCAGGCATCTATGGGTATGCTGATGACACCACAGTTGTGGATAGGTACTTGACCCATGCAAGGGTTAATGGAGAAGAAATCCAGTCTTGTCAAGAGTCCATGGTTAGTCATTTGAATTTCACTCTTAAGGCAGTATACGATTGGGGCGATGCCAATCTTTTAAATTTTACGTTACTGTTTTGGTGACCCTCGTTGTCCTAGTATACTTAGGGCACTATGACCTGCGCGAGCATGCCCGCGCACGAACTATCTAAGTCAATTCCTATCCCGAAATCAGCCCGTTTGCACAGACTTCATACGGTTCTTTGTACGGCTAGTGCTTTAGGCAAGCCGTCCCTGGTGCACATACAGCACCCGTCCTATTTTCTTTTGCCGTCGCGTTCTGCGCGACTAACGGTTGTCACACTGGGACAATTGCTTCAGCCGTATCAAGCACAAGTCCGGTCGTGTATGGAGTACTGCTGCCACTTATGGGATGGATCTGCTAAATACCAACTGGCCACATTGGATTGGATTTGATAATCGTGTCAAGAGGCTTGTAGGTAACTCGGATTTAGTAGAGACGAAACTGCAGAGCCTTAAACACCGCCGTTAAATTGCCTGCTCGTCAGTATTTTACAGGAAATATCATGGAGAGTGTGCTATTGAATTGCATGAGTTAATTCCACCTTCCCCTTTCCATCATTGGGTGATTAGACGTTGGATGGGGTTCCACCACTATATTGTGGACATTCCCAGAATTTGCATGTAGCGCTTCGCTTCCACATTTATATATATTTATATAATTCCACATTTATATAATTCCTCTGCCTGCGTACTTATTATTCCCTGACCGCTATAACTTGGACCATTCATGTCGAGAGTCAATAGACATTATTTAGGTGTGCATGCCACAATTTCGACCTCATCGTCGCTTTCTATCAGGTGAGATGGAGGTCAAATACGCACCTTTTTTTAACCGCCTTCAGAAGAAGAAGGAGGCTCTCAATTCGACTGTATGTTTTTTTGTATGTATGTTACGCGATAACTCCGGCTAATGATAATTTGTAAACCGATTTTAATGATTCTTTTTTGTTGGAAAGAGGGTACCTCAGGAGTGTTCCCATTTAAATTTTAAGAAAACATTCCACCTCTAAGAGTGGCAAACTAGTTGAATGACTTTTGAGGTCGGTTTTTAATGTATAAAAAAAACTCAAAATCTGATGTAACTATTTAGCTTAGGTACTACAAAACATTCACCAAAGAATTCAATATTAGCTTCTTCCATCAAAAATCAGAACAGTGACTTATGTTTACCATACAATAACTCCACTGAGGAAAAAAGGAGCTACAAGAAAAATATAAGCAACATATAGAAGAAAAAACAAACTGTTTGCCAAAAATTACAAAAAAATGATGAAGACTTTGAGAAGAGAAGAGTTATGACTTAGAAGCGGTGGTGCCATGTCCTTGAGGCGACACTTCGGCATTTTATTATAAGTCTAAATTTAATAGCTACAATCTAACTTTGACAGAATTGACAAAAACTAACTAAAAAATGGCGTATCTTCATACGCCGGAAAGTTCAGTCTTACTTTTGGACAGAATTCCGATTCTGTCCAAAAGTAAGCTAAGCGTGGGGCTGTTGAAATTTTTAGTTCACTATTGACAGAATATGTTCTTGTTTATATGTTCCTATTATACTTTTTGTGAAAGTTTATTGATTGAAACATAATTGAAATAAAATATAATTTCATATTTTGTTTTAATATCAAAAAATCCAGAAACGGACTCCGTCAATTTTCATAAAAAGGGAGCGGAACATGGAATATAGGGAATTTCATAAAAGTAATTTTTAAATGTTTCAACATAAAGGTGGAGTAAAGCCTTATTTAACCTTATGGTTGATTATCTTTTTGATATCAGAAATCAGAAATCAGAAACATTTATTGTATGAATTGGTAAAATACAGGTGTTACTTATAAGTGATTAGATCTACAATTCTTACCCAAATCAGGCGTACAATGTCTTAAAATTACAATTCAATTAAAATTTATTACAACTTAAATGTCAAAAATTTAAATTATAATTAAGTTAGTTATACAATTGTCAAATATTTGATGTCTTTATATACTCCCGGACACATATTTCGAGCCACTTTGCATTGTCAGTATTAAATGTCCTTAGCTTAAATAATGTTTGATTGATCAATAACTAATTCAAGTTTGAAACTGGTGTACTAAACATCATTTGCAAAAGGTTTTGTTGAAAATTTGAATTTGCGAAATCGGCAAAAACTCTTTCTTCAATGATAATAAAACAAATTTTATTCTGGCACTTGAAAAATAAAAATGCAAGATGGCTCGATTTATGTGTCCGGGAGTGTATAAAATTCGTTAAGATTGTAAAAAACTTTGTCAATTAACCATTTTTTTAAACAAGCTTTAAATTTATCACCATTTAAACATTTCATTTCCATTGGAAGTCTGCTATAAATTCTAATCGCTGTTACATAGGTGCTGCGGTCAAAGATCGTGCTGTTTATTTTAGGGAGGACAAGACGATAATAAACAGGCTTATTGTATCTTCTTTCGCGTGATACTTGATAAAATATCCCAAGTTTAAACCTTAAAGTGAATTAAGTGAGGAACTTTTTTTAATTCATAATTTTGATAATAAAGAATAAATAAATAAATTTTTTAAATGACTCTTGCAAATTATATACTCATCTGCAAGTTACAATCATTCTATTAGTTGAAATTAATCTACATATTTTCTTATCCACTTTATACCTTAAAGTATGCAAAACTTTAAACCTTAATTGCAAAAAAACATTAATTTAGATTTATTTCTTTGTTTGAATAAGCATGCGATGTGGTCTGTGGTGGTAACTGTATCAATGTAAATTAGAGAAAAAGGAAAGATAGGCGGGATTACAATAACGACTATTTCAAGTTTAGTTCAAAAGAGCAAAAAGAATGTAAGTAAATATAGGAACCAATGAATAATTTAATATCATTGATAATACCATGGAGAATTTAAAAACTATATTAAATAATTTAAACTATTGTACCTAAATATGTCAGTGGGGTGTCAGCAAACAGCTTACAGTTTCGTTTTCATAGTCTAAGCGGTAGACCAACCATTCATAAGCCTTTGGATTTTTATATGAAAATATAAAATGATTTAATTATTATTCAAACATTTGTGACAAATAATAATCAAACTTAAAAACATATAAAAATGGGCTCGAACACACAAATTACGTTACTCCAATATTCTTTTCTGTCTTTAAATTAAAAAAATATACGTAAGTTTTGTTGGGTAAATATTTGTTATCCGTTGTCTTAGTTTTTCAGGCCATCTTGACTTGGTAATAACAATATGGCTGTATGGTTGAATCGCAAGTGATCCAGGAGGGGAGCCCCGACGGGTCAAACACAAAGCCGGCGTAACATGGAGGGAGGAGGGAAGCAGTCGCGCTTGCTGGGTCGACTGCTGGGAAAACTGCGTGGCGACCACCATCGTTACAACGTTCTTGATAGGCATTTATCAGTTACTTCATCGGGGTAAGAGAATAAAAAATATGATTAGTGGCTTATAAAGGTAAAGTTAAGAAACGATTTAACTTTTGCATGGCTTTAGTCACTATGGATTGGTTTTCGCGAGCGTTTTTATACTGAAGTAAAGTTGGAGTTATAACAAGTGCGCACTGCAAGCACCGAGTATGACAAGTTTCGCGGATGGCCAAGTGATTTTTTTCTATACCGCATTTCTACACCATTCAGGTGTAAAAATGCGAAATTTGTTCACATCACACTGCCATAGTGTAATAGGACATGTATGGCAACTCCATACAAACGTAGCAGCGCGGCTTGTATGTGGTGTACGTACGGAAGCACACATTCGCATAAGAGCTCACAGTGCACCCGCGTTGCATAGCGCGGGTCGTCGCATGTGTCATTTAGAGTCGATACAAAATGGCTTTGGTTGATTCCGCATAACAATGAAAGTATAGAATCAATCAATTTGGAAAACACATAATTAGTAAAATTGAGGATATAAACGGTGTGAAAACACGATTCCAATAAATAGACGATAGGAAAAAAAACAAAGTTACTTCGAACGTTTACAGGAAAACAGCTGTATTTAATGGGTACTTTGCGTACACCAATGATTTTTTTAATATCAACTGACCTAAATAGAACACGTATAGTATACGATATAATGTATACATTTTCCAATTGGCTTTAATTTAGTTTGTAAAAAATAATTCTGAAATAAAGCCAGTGACCCTGCTGCTCGACTGAAGAAATATGGGAAAAATTTTCAATTCGAACTGAGGTCATATAGGCTCTTAATTATACAACTGAAGCGGTCCCTCGGCATTTAAAAAACTAAATAAAGTAGGAGACTATATAACTAAAACAGTATTGTAACAACGCTACACTCCGAGCGTAGCATAGACATTTTTACGCGCCATACAGGCGGGAATTGCTCTACTTGCTCTTGTTATACTATGATATATGATCAGGTAACCCTTCCGCATTTCTTGTCTAGGAAGTATGCATAGTAAGTATGCTACGTAAGGTACACGTAGAGGTCACTATCCAACTTTAAAGTGATTTACGTATTCCAATCGCAAGTAAAGAACGTGCTATGACCATTGCTACGACCATATACAGGTGTCCTAAAACGCAACGTTGAATGTTGGTATTGTGCACATGAACAACATTACTTTTCATATAGGCAGATAAAATTATTATTTTAATTGCTTTGCGGTATCCGCATACTATGCTTTGGAGACCGCTGCTTGATTTTGGTTGCCTCTCCCGATCGGAAACTGCGTCTTTTCTGAGTCGAGGCTCATAATTGCGATTCACAGCTGGCCGATCGGAAACTTTTGACATTTCAAATCGGAACAATAGTTGATTTAACTTACAAATTAGAAAGATATAGTAGGAATCAGGTTCATCTTCTCGCTCGGAAAGTCATCGGATTTCGAGACTGCCTGATCGGTCCGATTCCAATATGAATCAAAATCACTAGGCAGCGATATGATATTATGTGCTGCGGTTTTCTAAGCAAGCCTCATACGGTTACTTAGTTATGTGGTCAATGATAGTACGTACCTACTCAAAATATCATTTGTTTTGAGTCCTTACTTGTAGCTTGTGTATCAAAATCTGTTTATCTGTAGGGTAAAACCGGGATACTTTTTGAAAGGGCCTCCTAATTTTAAAATTATTGGTTTACCATGAATAATTCCTATGAATATAACTAGTTTAATCTTTTACATCACATTAATACTTGATTTTATTGATCTAACATTTACTGATTTTGAAGAAATTGACTGCAAACCTATTTCTTTGAGGATAGATGCCTACCTATATGTATAGACGCCACACAATGAAAATACTAAGAAGCATACATGCCCTTTAGAATAAAATAGAAAAATTCATAATAAAATGTTTTATTTATAACCTTTAATATACTGTATATACATATTACATCTTTAATAATAAATATATACATATTTAAAGTTACTACCTAATTCAGTTCGTATTTTTGTAGATGTCAAAACATTCTATACAAAAATGTTCGCTATTTGAACTGTGAATAATTTGTCTTTTTGGTACTTTTACTTACTTTGAAACTATTATCATTTACATGTCTTTTTCACTAAAATCATGTATTTTTTTATTTTCTTTTCTTAACTTTCTTGTCTTGTCCTTTGCCCCTAAACCTGTACCGCGAAAAATCGAGGCAACTATCCTATTCGATATGTATATATGCCCTTTTATTATATAACTAAGCTATATACAAAAGAGCGATCATTGACACCTAGGTGCGCAGTTAATGACCCAGTGTATAGTTAAAATAAAAATAAAACGGAATTGATTATAACTTACAAAGTGATGCGACAGTACACACATGTGACTGAAATTTTGAACCTTTTAATTTAAACTAATTATTTTTTGTTGCGATTTGGGGAAGTTACGTTTTTTGAAAACGAGGCATCTATCCCACTGCGGCATCTATCCCGATTTTACCCTAAGCTTGCTAATGGAAACGTATCTTTGTCATTCTTAGTACGGTGGAAAGCATGCAATTTGAAGGCGTAGAGAAAGAAGAGGAAGAGGTGGATGTCGCCATGCATCCTCATGTCACGTCGGTCTCGCCACCCCCGTCATACCATACGCCCGTCGACGAAGATCAGTTCCCTGCTAACATAGATTTGAGGTGCTTTTTGAGATAGTTTTTTTTTAGTACATTGCGTTTACTTCCGACTAAAGCAGTAGTACGCCCAGCTTGCTACGGCAAAGGCAAATACAGTATTGATTTAAATGTGTTCGCGTTATCTATATATGAAAATAGTAACAGAGCCCTTGTGAAAGAGTTCATCCTGAGAAGTTGGCCATCTTACCTATTTCTGCCGCCAAGCAGTAATGTGGGCATTACTGCTTTCCGATTTTTAACGGTAAGAGTACTAGTGAAATTAGAGGCACATGGGACTTAGTTAATTATTAGTTTAATTTGCCGTGTGTAACAATCACGAAAACCTAAGAACTCGGCATATGGGACTTGTGAACTTATGTTTCAGGGTGACGGGCGCATGGCACTGCCCCTCAGATCTTTGCGATTTAAAGCTCTGACTGGCACTGCAACTGTCATGGACAGGTGCGTTTCGTTTACCACGACTTGTTCGTCCCATCACTTGATATCATAAAAAGAAACTTGGTATCATAAGTAAATATACCTACGAAATTGCCGATTACGTATACTGGAACGTTTAAAGATATCTTTCATTTTACTTAGAGGTTTTCATTCAAATTATAGTTAGTAATATAGTTACGATTACGATATTTCTTTTAGAACAATCCGATATTCATTTGTTTTTCTGCCGTTTGATTTTTTTATTTAGCTGTTTCTGTGACAATGGAAAAATCGAAATTGCGCTGTTTTTTTCGAATACAAGTTCTGTCGTTGCACCAACGCAGCACAGGCGGCACCCAATATCAACTATATGTATGGTCCATTTAGAGCAAGTAAGCGCACAGTGCGTTTTTGATTTGATGGCTTGCGTTCTGAAAATTTCTTTGTTTTCAACAATGAGTCCCGTGGCAGATCGGAGACGAAAGTCGATAAAGATGAATTGAAAACCACACTGGAAGCAGATTCATCTTAAACCAAGTCGTAATTAGCAGCAGCTTCAATGTACCTAAGTGATAAAACGATATTAATTATTTGCATCAAATTGGAATTACAAAAATCAAAGAAAGTGAGAGCCACGGGAGAAAGAAAAGAATAGAAATGGCATAAAGCAACTTTTGTATCAAAACCGGTTTCGCCACACGCACACATTTGAAAACGTAATCTTACATTAGTACTAAGATAACATAATTTTGATTGGTTATAAATTATCAAACGAAAATAGACAATAATAAAAAACTTTTGGTAACAAAAATTGAAACGTATTTGGATCTAATAAGGTTTTATTATTACTAGTCACATAAAACCTAAGAATCCTATGAACCCAAACTTCTAGGAACAAAAGCAAAAAGACAATCTACAGATAGGGATGTGACATTTAATTGATATCGACATTATGTTTCATAACTAGCGGAATATTGAACTAGTCATTGCTATAAACTTGCTATAATTAGGGTTAACCACGGAGTATATGGAAACAGAATTTAAAGCAATTTCTTCGAGAACTAGTGTAGCTGACTTTTACACGCACACATTTGTTACCAAATGCACATAAGGTTTTACTAATATTTAAATATTATAATATTTTTATATTTTTACTACACGAAAATATTAATTGTTATTAGCTACGCAGGCAAGTGCGTATACGCAGCTACATGCTACAATCACAGTATTAATGATTTATTATATTGTCATCGTACTTTCATTAACCTACTAGATTTCAGGTCAATCGGATCACTGGAAGGGTTGAAATATTAGACAGATAGATAGATAGATAACACGTTTATTCAGCACAAATACAAACAGAAACAAAACATTTACAATCACTTCACAGAGTATAACATAAAAGCACATAGAACATTCATTATTAATTTTATACACATTTATATAAAACACATACTGCGAGAAAAACAAATACTGTGAGAAAAACAAACAAATACTATAAGAACTTAAAAAATTTAATGTACGTACCTATGACTACAGTTTGTGCTGAAATGGCCCTGACATAGCATAAATACTATAGACCGAGAGAAGTCAAACAGTGCTGGTTTTCTGCCAGTACCATATGGTGAGCGATCTGGGCTGCGATAAGCCATGCCACCAAAGTGCATCACACGCAAATATATATACCTAACTCTAAATACTATACTTATATATATCAAGCAAAAGTATAAGATGTAAAGCAAATAATGTAAATAGTGTAGGTAATGAAGGTAAGCAATATAAATAATAATGTAAGTTTACAAACATAATATTAAATTATAACAATAGCCACCAAGTATGAATATACATATATACCTATATACTTAGAATAATAACGCATAGAATGATAGTTTCATAAAAAACGAACTGTCACAAGTGAGGCAAAAATCAAATTCATGTAGGCGTAAGCAACTTGTATTTACGCTCGTCGGCACGCACACAAATATACAAATAATGATGCCATGGAATAACATTTCCCTCAAAAGTGGGGAAATTGTATCTTGCTTAACTCATCGTTAAGTTAGAGGTGCCTACAGATTTGCTCGATTTTGTCGATCGTTACTGTCGATCAGGTGCCTACAGATTTGCTCGATTTTGTCGATCGTTACTGTCGATCAGGTGCCTACAGATATGCTCGATTTTGTCGATCGTTACTGTTGATCGACAACGTCAAGTGACAGGAATTTTCAAAAATTTATTTTTGGTAATCCTTATGGAAATGGCATTTATATCTGAATACATGAAGGCGGACACGACTTTTCTCATTTCTAAATCCAAGATGGCGGACACGTCTTTTCGAATAAATGCAATATGGGAATCGTTTTCGAGGTATTCGAGGTGTTCATCACGAATATGGCATTTATTTCTAAATCCATGATGGCGGACACGACTTTTGAAATAAATGCAATATGGGTATCATTTTCGAGGTATTTGGGGGTGCTCATTACGAATATGGCACTCATTTCTAAATCCAAGATGGCGGGCACGATTTTTCATATAATGGCAAGTTGGGGATCGGTTTTCGAGGTATTTGGGGGTGCTCATTAGGAATATAGCACTTATTTCTAAATCCAAGATGGCGGGCACGATTTTTCGAATAATGGCAAGTTGGGTGTCGTTTTCAAGATATTAGGGGCTGCTCATTTCGAATATAGCACATATTTCTAAATCCAAGATGGCAAAGAATTAGAAGAAGAAGAATTAGAAGTCTTGTCATCCATCTTGTATTCAGTTATACAGGCCATTTCCTTATGGTTTACCAAAAATACATTTTTGAAAATTGTTGTCAACCATCTTGGATTTAGAAATTAATGCTACATTCGTAATAAGCACTCTAAAACTCCTCGAAAACGTCTATAATTCTCAATCGTTACTGTCGATCGACAATGTCGAGCAAATCTGTAGGCACCTTATTAAATACTACCCAATTCTTATTTAACTCATATTCCAACTTACCAACACCGGTTAATGTCCTATTAGAGCTTAGCGAAAATTTTTTTTTTGTTTCGTTTTTTTTCTTTCAACTGTGACATTGGCAAAATCATCAGTTCTCATATTGATGGAGCCATAAAAATAAAAAGTGAAGTGAACAAAAACCTACAAGCGAGTTTAAGTGCGACTATCGAATTTGAATATATAAATAGCCTGATATTATCTGTGGGCATGTTTACATGAAAAGTACACGATAACAATTAAGAACCTGAACCTGAAAGTTATTTATACACAATTTTGGAGAACTGACGATGACTTTTTAGACAGTGTTAGTTTCCTGAAATAATTTTAGTTAAGAACTGTTGATTCTGGGCAAGACAATTTTTTTAAATGAGTGTATGATGAACAAGAATAATGATTTTTCACATGAAACTAATGAAGGCAAATACTAAATATATTTCGTAAAAATAGCTAACGTAAATTCCCTACAATGTTGTTGCGGCAGTGTACATTTGTAGAAATTTTGCAACCGTCGCGATATTGCCTATTCTCAAAAAAATACGTAATATAATTATTTGAAGGCAAATGAAACAGAATAGCAAAATGGGGAGAAAAAACCCGTTACTTTGCAACATTTTCGTATCTTGTTGCAACGAAATTAATTTTCTGTTTTAGTGAATATTTACATAAAAATACAAGTTGAAACGCGTTACTTCCTTGTGGAATGTGATGTTAGTGTCTATTTTATATTTGTCTGATCTATATTCTATATTAAACCCAATTACCGCACATTTCGTCATTTTTAGCAAAAAATTTTGAGCTGCTCGCGGTGCAACTTGACCTTGAGTACTGACAGCCCGCTCGCTCGTGTAAGCCCATAGGGCGTCCTACAATTTGCCTCACTTAGCGTGTGCGGGCTAGGTTTCTATGCGTTATTATTCTAAGCCTATATATATATTTTGTAAAACTAAACTTCCGTACATGTATCAAACGCATTGATTATATAGGGAAATATCTATGTAGCGAGACACGCTGACAAAAGGTGTTTTTTTCTATTCACGCTTAAATCGTTTTTTATTATTAAAACAGTCATCATATAAATATTTATTCTCCCTGAAATATGATATAGTTGTTTTGTTTCGAAATTATAGTATTGTATTGTTCAAAATATTAGAAAATACAGAGTTTTAGTACTTACCGATGAAATGAAATCACTCCCGGAGTATTTTTTAAACTTTGGCTTCTTACGCGGCATGATATAATGGCACAATTCGGCATATTTCTATTTTTCCACAAAATAATCATGCATCACATTTGAACGACGACTGACGCGCTGTTGACACTCATATGCCCGTCTGGTTATAAGCTAGGTAACGCGGACCCCGCCCACTAACCAGTCTATTACTAGTATTTATGTGGTCTGTGGTGGGAGCCGTATGAACACAAAGAACAACAACAATATTGCCTTAACTTGTTGAATGAATTGATTGCATCAATGAATTTCCATTAAAATGGCAAAAGTGCAATAGCTATAATGTCCTACTGGGGATCTTCTTATGTATGCCTATCACATATGGAGCGAGGATATAGAAAAGCAAGGCGAAGCACTTGAATCCATGGCCAAAAATGCAGCCACGAAGCTTGGCATCCTTTTCTGGGTGAGGCTTTACTTCACACCAGAACTCTTAGACTCGGAATTAGTAGAGGCGAAGCTGCAGATCTTTGAACACCGCCGTAAAGTTGCCTGCTTATCGGTATTTTACAGGATATATCACGGAGAATGTGCGATGGAATTACACGATATAATTCCGCCTTCAGCTTTCCATCATCGGGGGACTAGGCGTAGGCTTGGATTCCACCTCTATGTTGTGGGTATTCCATAGATTCGCACGAAGCGTTACGCTTCCACATTTATAAGGCGAACGGCTATGGAGTGGAATTCCCTGCCTGCAGACTTGTTCCCTGAACGTTATAACTTGGACCTTTTCAATGCGAAAGTGAATAGGCATTTATTTAGGTGTGCATGCTCCATCGTCGACATCAACGTCAGAGGTGAGATGGCGGTTTAAGTGTACACTTACATTTGAATAAAGAAAAGAAAAAAAAAGAAAGTAATTTCACAAAAACGAATTGAATATCAATTCAATACAAATTTAAATATATATTTTTCATTTTTTTTCTATTTTTTCCATATGTAACGGCAATTTCATAGGTAAGGACCTAATACATTCAAAAATGTTACTGCGCATTTGCCAGGCATGGTAGCGTTCACAGCAAATGCACATACGAGAGATTGTTGCTATCTCCGTAATATAAGATTAGTCGAAGATGAGTTGTTCCGATTTAGTACTGGAAATTACTCGACAACCTTTGTTAAGTGTAAACTACAAAATAAGTTATGCGAGTGACTTGTTTATTATTCATGTTAAGGTATGGTGGACAATACTTGACTCCAGAGCAGCTGCCGGAATTTTGTGACCAACTCCACAACTTGGTTGAAGTCATCAGGAATATACAGTCTTACGCAAAGGTCACTGGAGAGTACCCAAGGTAACGTAACCCAAGGTAAAAAGAAATCGCAACTCCCGAAGAAGAATGGCACTTATGTCATTCGACTTAACGAATTAATCCCTTGAACTAAACTTAAGTATGTCTTAAACCAATGCTTGTAATGCAAAGAAATTCCTTATACATTGTGATAAGAGTGTTTTATTAATTTAAGCATTGGGTCAAGACGTACTTAAGTTAATTGCAAGTTAACAGGAGTCTTTTTTTTTACTGAATTGGGTAGATGAGGAAACACACGTCCTCTTCATATTGTGTAAGCTATCGACAATATTGACTGATTAATAAACGAAAAATCAAAAAACTTAAAATAAAAACTTGTTTTTTAATTTTATGCTTAAAAACATGCAAATATCTTTATGTAATATAATTATTACAATTTTCTCATTGCATAACCAGCAAATAATACTATTGTTTTCAAATATTATCATGGAATAAATCCTTTACACAAAATAAATCTCGTACAGAGGATTATTTTTATTATTAGCGAGTTGCCTACGAGTTCTAGATGGTCACCATGACATGGAAAAATAATTATTTATTACAGCAAAGTGACATTATTCCATAATGTTTTTGGATTAAGATAATATCTCAAGCACGATGAAAAACAAATTTGTAAATATCAATCTATTGATGACAAAGCCTAAATGTAAACAACGTTACAATGCAATACATTCTTATAACCTGGAGTTATCAATAGTCAAGGTTTTATTCTTGGAAAAGACGATTTTAGATTTTGTCCATGATTTCCCATTTTATATAGTAATTGAAGTGCAATAAATTAGGATTATGGATAATATTTTTGGTTACACTGCAAAGTAGTTTACATAGAACTGCAACTTTTACAAAGTAGTAAATAAACGTTATAATTATGCCTTTTTACAAAGGTGCTATATGTAGGTACAATGTATACTTCAAGACGCTTTAAACGTTATGTAAATATGTTGTAATTAAACATGGATATAGTAAAATGACATTCAATTGCAATGATAAAATACGCAATTTCATAATATTTACAGTTTTAAAAATGTTTAGACGAGTGTACTTTAGCAAAATTATACTGCCTTTGAATATCTTTAAAGGGCGATTATAGCTTCTCGCTTATAATGTTATTTGCCGATAATAAATTGCATAAAAATTGACGCAATCTGATTGGATATATTCTCGTAGTCGCGGTTTATACCTACTCATGTATATACTAAACTATCTGCGCTTTTTTGGTTAAGTTCTTACTTAATTCAGTCGTCCGAATGTTTGAATAAAATTAGTTGAATTGATTAGTTTATTAGAACGACGACTAGAGCAAGAAGCCCAAGAGGTGGCAGCCCTTGCCGCTGAGGCGCGTAACGCAAGAGACGTCATCAGCCGAATTCGTGTACAGCGACGTGCCGTCCGAGTTCAACGCAAGCATCTCGCCACTCACTTGGCGACCTTGAAAGATACTGGTAAATCTTAGTATTTAACAAGTTGCATAAGCCGTGACGTTGATACTCCTTGTCGCTGACCAAGGATGTAAAACAATCGTATCATATTATGACGAAAATTGTGACTGGTGTCATCTCAGCCCGTTTTTTTTTTCAGAAGTTCGAGAACTGGAAAGTACAGTAAGGCTGTCTGATAGAAAATTGTTCAAGAGTTGGGAATCATTAAAAGACTCTTCAGAAGTAGCCGATTTCGAGCCACTCCTCAGTGAAATAAAGGTCCGCTCTTATTATTAGAGCACTAAGATTTGAATTGTTTCTGTACATAGTAAACATTGTTATTTTCCTAAATTATATTTCTGTGTGGAATATCTTAAGTTATATAATGCAAGATCAATCAAGACTTATGAATATGTATTAGGATCAATTTTCCATTAATAGTACCTACTTATCCAATTTAGTACCTATTAAGTACAATCGAGAAAACCAGTCATCGTACTGATTTACTTATATACTACGTAGTATATAAGTGTATACGTAGTATACACTTTGTAACTAAGCATTCAATTTTCCAGAACAAGCAAACTGCATTGGAATGTCTCATTCGACTAATTGATAGCCGCCGAACAACAATAGCTCGTCACGTGACGTCGCCACAACCTTTGCCACCACCGTTGCCGCGTGAAAATAACGAAGGTTTCACTTCATCATCACGAAGCGAGTGTGAAACTTTGAACAGCGCGGTGGATAATGCATCATCTTGTTCTGATATCACGCCGGGTTCTCACATTCGCTTGGTAGATAGAGCGATCAAAACAATTAGGTTGATCTATAATCGGTCGATTACGTTGTAGAATCTAACGCGGCCAGTGCGTCAAATGGGCATAGGCGACAAGAAGGCGTACGGCGAGTTAATGTTAAGCGGCGGCGTAAGGAAGCTGCACGGGAGCCTCGCTCTGTACCGCTCTCCGGAGAGCCCAGCCATCACGGCTCGCAACCCCAGGTTTGCGGCGTATTTGACCCCTGCTGGTTCAACTACTGTTAGCTCGATAGATCATTTATATCCAGGTCAAATTGGACTGTGGCGCAGGGTTTGCTTCGATCAACAGCGTGTTGCAAAAGTACTTTATTTCCACTATTACGGGAAAAAGATAAAAACATATGCTCTGTCTTTGTAACCATCTACTAAAATCCTATTTAAATTAAACTTAAACTAAAAAGCACCAAAATTTACTGGTTAGTCCAATTATTTAAATAGTGGATGGGTCGATGACGGTGGGAACCACTTTGTGTTTGCATAGTTCGCTTCTTATTTTGTATCCAAGAAATAAGTTCTAACATTGTATCCAATCGTATACCTTGCTTCATTTTTTTTTGGTTTGTTTCCCTAGCAGGTGACCTTGTTCATACAAGGTACCGCGGGCAATGAGCATGCGTCGAGATACCGCGTAGGCAGCGCGGGAGCCGTCACCCTCACTCCTCTAGAGCTGCCTTCTCGTGGTAGTGTCAGAGATATACTGTTTTTTACATCGTAATTGATCACCTACCTGCTTAGCATTGTCTTTATTATTAGTCTACAAATAATACACAATCAAACCCGCAATAATGTTATTTTAATTTAACACTTCCGTGTCTTCGAAGTGGTTTCCTCTATGCTATAATGTTTTGGAGCGTCATTCCGGCCGCTTCAAACCGCCGTTTTGAATGAATTGAGAATCGAATAAGATGCAAACGACGTCAGTCTCAAACGATCAAAGGCCCAGACATGTTACTCAGACATGTCAAACAAATCCACATCATCAGGTCAGCCGACTACTCTGAATATCATCTAGCAAGAAGTCATTATTCAACACCAGTGTTTTCCAAAACATCTGGGTATAACGCTGGCAGACCAGTGGTCTGCCAGTGTTAGTTCAGTGGAACTACAAACCCCCCTAATAAAAACAAAATGAAGGGGAATTCCCTATCCTCCGATCGGAACTCCGAGGAGGAGGAGCGGGAACATTTTTTCTCATGCCTCCGATTGAAGGGCAATAACCTCCTCGAACGTCTAAATCCACCAGATGTTCTGCGAATACGGACATAGCACTGTGTTTCTCTACCGGCGACACGTGTGTGTGGTATGGCATAGACAAGGCACACGCTAAACTTGTTCACATAGCGCTTAACGACACAGTGCGAATAGATAATGGATGTTGCAAACCAACACCTTTTAAGGGAGTCACTACACTTGTCAACACGGAATCGCATTGAGCCAGTCAAAAAAAGCGTATGTCGAAAAGGACGTCGCGCGTTTCGCTTCCGCTCGGACACGCACGTCTTTTTCGCTGTTATTACATGGACTCAATGCGATTCTGTGGTGCCTGCCTAACACCGCAGTATTGTATCCCTAATAATGCGGTGGTGCGCGCACCACGAAGGCTCTATCCGAATTTGCAAGGCGTGTACTGTATTTATAACCAGATTTTTATCTTAGTCCAAGATTATTATATGCTTAAAAGAATGTAAACAAACGAGAGCTGTGTAAAATGACAGATGCAGGGGTGTTCAACTTGTGTAATAAAAAATATTGACTTGTTTAAAATAATTAGCGTAATAAAACGAAAGTAGAACCAATATTTAATAGTTTGAAATAAAATAAAATATTTATTTTTTTAATTTAAATACAATAGTACTAATATTATACTACTTTAAAATTCTGAACAATGAGCCTGCTTAGAAAAATAATAAATGTTTTCTTAACAAGATCAATGATTGGGTCATGGTAAAAATCTCAAAATTGCATATATTTACGATATGCGGTTGTTTCTAATCAAAATACTTAATCGTATTTACAGTGTTACAGTAAATAAAAATAAATATATTAATTATTTATTGAATTGTCTGAATCAGATTCACTTGATAATGATGTTGATGATGATGATAAGTCTCCCGCATTTTTACAATTCTATCTATTGACATTTATACATTTGTCCATTTCTTTCACAGTTTTTCCAGTCTTCAGGTGTAGCATTATTCAGCACCTTTTTTTTTTTTTTTTTTATAGCATTATTCAGCACCTCGGGTAAATTTTTAAAAATTTTTTTGGTTTAAAACTAACATTCATTTTGGCTACTTCCCCTTTCACCTTTGCCCATATTAGTTCAATAGGGTTAAACTACTATATGGGCTGGGTTGAATGGCTGATGTAATTTAAAATACTAATAAGATACTGACATACACCAAACGTTTGTTGTATAAAGAACCTTTTATATAGTTTGTTTGCATTCTTTTAATTACCTAAAAGTACATAATAGTTTCATCATCCTTCAAGAACAATTACCGAAAGGTTGCAATCTGCTGTGATCCATGTGGAAGTCGTTTAACCGTTTTCGTATTGAGGTAGGTCGCTGCAAAAATAGGATGTGATCCTCATTTAGGATTCAGAGATGCTAATCTAATCCAATGTGACTGCATTACTCCAACTCAGTCCATGCGTCGCTTGCTGATGTGTCCCTCGCATGGACACCTGCACGAGGGAAGTTCGCAACTACGTCACAGATGGAGCAATCAAGGTAGCAATATTATAATAAATATTACTCAAAGAGACAAGACATGATAAGAAGAAGTATACTGCAATTATTTCAAGCAAAGATAACCCCTTACCGGGAAATTATGAATAGTGAGTTATTAGGCAATAATGAAAAGTTGGGAATGATTTCATCAGGAACGTTAGATCCCTTTTGTAACTTGTTAACTGCTCTATAAATTTGACGTAATATTGTTTACGTCTACGCAAATAATTTTCGAAAATAGTTCTTTTGAAAGGGTCTTCAAATTTTCCTTGACGCTTTGGAAACTTTTGTAAGATACAAATGAAAAAATTAAAAGTGACCGACATAGGTACTCCAACGTGGTGGTTACATTGCAGTCCACTCTGTAATGATTTTCGATATGCAGTATGGATGCTGCAATATTCATTCTGGAGAATAAAAGGATTTTCCCAGATAAAATCCTAAAATGTTTACAATTTCTGTGTGTAAGGCATATGTGTATATTGACTTGAAATGACGTATGTGTACACATTAAAGCAAATAACAATTACATACTTTGTGGACTTTGTGCCACAACCGCCAAAGGGTGATAATATAAGATAATAGCTGATTGAATGAACCGAAATTTTTGTATATGTTTGTGGCTGTTTCACAGGATAAAAGGCGGTAAGCGTCTTGAAGCTATTTCGTGGATATTTGCAGGTAACTTAACTACAGATGAGTGAATTCCACTAGGAGTGATAAAACTTTCTTAAACGTTTCAGTAATAAGTACTTTCACACTATTTTAACTAATGTAGACGATTCTTTTATTTGGAACTGTATACGTTTTTACAATAATATTCCGGAGACTATATTGAGCTTATCATTTCCTAAGTTTAAAACTTATATTAAAAGTTTTTTTAACTCAAAAGTCATATTACAAACTTGATATATGGAAAGACGACATGGCTCTAGATTCCACACAAATTTGATTCAAAATGTATTTATTCCTAACATTTAAGTTTGAAAAGAACAACCCTAAAAGTTTCTAGCTCGTTCTTCAGTGAAGTCAGCACAGTCAAAATTACGTTTTCAAGTGTAAATTTATTTTACCTGTGGAAATAATGTTTTTTGACTTTAACTTTAATACGATATAATTTTTATTCATAGATTTAGGCTGGGGGTGGTTTTTATAGTTTGCAATTTATTGCCAAATAGGCGTTACACTGGTTTACCGTTGCATCGATTATTTGTAAATTCTACAGTACTTGAATGATATCTAATTAGTTTATAATACGTGGCGGTAAAATCCTCCTAAACTTTACTGAACTGGGGTCTTACCATGAACTTTTATTATGATTCAGTTTAAGACCTAAAATGAATCGTTGTGAGACAGCACTACATGAAGTGTAGTATCACCATCCCGCTTTTTTGTCGTTACGAACCTATACTGAACTGTAATAAGAGTTCATGGTAAGGTCCCTGCGCACCTATGGATGAAGGATATTTGATATCGCCACCCCAATACCTATCTCAGTAGCTCCTCATTGTAGCAACAACAAAATATATACTACTACGTAAGTTAATTGAAGAACAATACTGTTATATTGTATTTTTAAATTGTATTTCTATAAAGGTTACATTTAATTTTTTTCATGTGCTTTAATTAATACTTAGTTATGAATGAGGGATAATCGTGGTTGTTGTCAAAGGTTTACATGAATTTTGAGATCATTCTTTTGTGAAATGAAGCACTGTCCTGGAATTGTGTTGTGTTGTTACAGATTACTGTTTGCCAGCCTCCGCGGCAGGAGTTGGCGACGACGCTGCATCAGCAGCGGGTTGAGCATCAGCCTACAATCAAACAAGAAAGGACTTTGTTAACAATAAATATCTAAAGTTAAATGTAACTTTATACTGTAATAATTATTATCACTTTAAAATTTCCGTTGGGACCAGTTCAACTAACCGATTGCATTACCTATTTTTATTTCTGTTTCTAAACATGAATGCACGGCTTCCCGTGAAACTGTTTGCCACTTCTTACTATAATATTTTCACAACGACAATATTACGAAGGTTTGGTGATAAAATGTATTAACTATTAATTAATAATTGCCATCAAGGTATCATAGATTGCTAATGAACCGGGCATAAATTGTTATGTGTATGGAATAGCTCAAACTACTTGTTATTTAACATGTAAGATTGTCAGCATGAACGACGTTATTACTAGATATCACTTTTTTCTTGCTATATTATACGCTCTATGTAATTGATGTTTATTGTTCATGTATTTACAAATGTACTCACGGCAGGGGCTGCAGGTGCTGCGGGTGCAGCGAGTGGTACGGGTGCGGCGTCAGCAGGTGCCGGAGCCGCCGCCGCAGGAGCTGACGCTGGTGCAGAGCCCGCCGCCGAAACGGGTGCTGCTGCAGAAGCAGCCGCCACTGGAGCAGCTGCCGGTGCGACTGGCGCTGCCGCTGCTGCCGCTGCGTCCTCTTTAGGCGCCGCGTCGTCGGGTGCAGGGGCAGCGTGACTCACCTACGAATCATTTGCAATTTAATCCAATGTTGTGATCTAATTTATTAACCAACTTCTAAAATAATTTCTTCATTTATTCACGGTTACTTAATGTTAATGACAATAGTGTCAGTACCTGGACTGCCACAAAGGCGAAAAGCGCGACGACGACGAGGACCTTCATGATTCGTGTGAGCACAGTGTCTTCAACAAACGAATTAACAATGAAACCTGAGGCCCGCACGGGTCTAATTTATAACCAAGTGGACGTAACCACCGCCAACGTGTACCAAAATAACGATTATGAGAAGGTCAATAAAGAGCCGTGTTTATAAAACATCGTACTACCACTCAGCGGAACAATTAAAATCGTTATCGTTTTATTAGCTTAGATTTTCCGAGCTTGCATATCAATAATTGCCGTGGAAAATGACGTCAATGAATAGGGCGAGCATACGCTCATAATTTTCACAAAATTTTAATCTTTATATCACCATATCATATACATATACCAATCCCATTTTACTGGAATAGAAGTAAGAAAATGGTTAAACCATTGATAGACGCGGTGTATATGTATGTATGTATAATAAATAAATCACACCTCTTGTCAAAGGAGTAGAGCCCATTTCCACATTTTAAATGCCTGGCTTTGTAAGACTACGCGGGCATTACGTTCGTTCCTTCCTCGAACCCGCAAGACGTGAAATGATCTTCCTCCTGTAGTATTTCCTTAGTGCTATGATATGGGGTTTTTTAAAAAGCGTGTGAACAAAGCTCGCAAAGGCTGGTAACTTGTAGGCGGCTCATCTGATGCTGCAGATGTCCGTGGGCGACGATGACCACCTCTCGCCAAGTGGCTCGTCTGCTCGTTTGCCTCCTACTTTACATTAAATAATACGGATAAAACCAAGTCGAAAACTGCGTAAGGCCCCTTGTTTACGAAAATCATTATAGAGTGTAGGTATTGAAACGCATTCATCCGAAAAACTCGTATATCTATTAAAAAAAACGGTTATTAAACTTGAAAATTGGGGCTGATAGGTTCGAAGTTCATCGACATATGGCACAAGTCAGTACCAACTGAGATTTGATAAAGAGTTACTACAAGTTTTGGTGAAAAGAAGTTGAACTTACTATTCTTAAGAATTGTACTCATTGATGTATTCCTTCGTATAAAATCCTAAAAAGTATTATAAAACTATACCACGGGGCGCGGGGTTATCGATGCAGTATGCGGTGTCAAGTCACAGACTAACATATATGTCTGGGTGAACTTTATCTGTTCTGGGGGGAAGTTCTTGGGATTTTTTTTGGTGAATACCATTGACTGTGATTACCTATCGATTTGCTAAAAAAACAAAATAGATTCAAAGTTAAAGTCAAATAATCATTTATTCCATAGGTAACATTTTTACACTTGAAAACGTATTTTTTTAAGCAACTGCTCGTTCACTACGCTGACTTCCCTGAGAAGAACAACCAAGAAACTCTAGGGATTGCTCTGTTCAAATAAACTTAAATGCTATAGAATACGATCATCTTTCAAAGCAAACGGCTGGTACTTGACAGTTAAATCTCAAAGGTGGCATCAGTATTTCTTACATAATTTTACGATTGTCCAATTTTGAAAACTGTTTCGTCGTGAAAGGCCCCTTAACTATAATTTAGCTGCAGATGTGATTATGTATGGACTTAAGTGTAGCTCATAATAGTCAGTAGGTACCTATTTGTTATGATATGGGTACCACGGAATATCAGCGTTAAGTGGAAGGAACTTCATTTAGCGGTACGTAACGCTTACCTTTAAGTAACTTTGAAACTGAACAGTTAAGCGTTGTGTTCAGTAGGAGACAGCAATTGACATCTGGTTCAATTATGTTTTCTCGACAAGATGTTTTCTTCTCCATGGCCTTTGCAGTCAGATATCGGAGTAGGTACAGCCTGTAATGTAGTTTGTGCACCGACCTAAAGGTGCCGTGTATAAATAAATCGTTTGCGTGGAACATACAAACTTAAAACTGCTGCCTCAGCAATGGACTTAATACCTTGAAGCCCGTTATGTGGGTGGCTGACTAGATGACAATTTTTTTGCCGAATTTGATGAGTGGCTTCAAAATTTTAATTTATTCTGATTTTTTTATGATTTCGAACTACAGCAAAAGATAGATGGATATATCGACTGTTTTCGGGCCTCAGTCCAAAATAAAATTTAAACTTGAGCAAGTTTTGTTGCAAGACGGAACGTCAAACCACAAAATACATTTATTGAACCATCATCGTACTATTTTCAGAAGATAATCGTTCTATACGTCACTGTCCCAAAATGGGCTTGCAGTACTTCTAAATTCTTATCGGCTATTGTTGTGTTTGCCGTATGCAACCAAATAATAATCTTTTACAATTAAAAAACCTTGCACTTTGTAATCAATATTTATATGAATAGACTACAAGACAATACAAATACAATACTGGCAAATATCCTTGTAGTAGAACCGCTTTGACTTTTCTTACGCGTTCAAGGGCGAAGGTAAGCAAATTGCTTGAGTATCTACATATTTAAGAATGATTGTATATTTTAAAGAAAGTTTAAAATTACATTTTCAATTTAAGAAAAACAACACAATCTGTGTCGTTATGTTGATGGGACGATGATGACGGATGTAATTTTTACAGCTAGACCTACAAATTTAATGTACACACGCCAGCACATCAAACTACACATTGACGTATCTTGTTCCGTTGCACTGGAGGCGATTTATGAACAAAAATGTGTAGTCTGATGTGCTGTTGTCCGTACGTATTATAAAAGAATATCTTGGGGATTTTTATTCCACAAATCCCCAGTGCTTAGCATGTACTACATTAGTGGGGATTTGTGGAATAAAATTCCAGAATCCCCACCAGTGGGGATTTTTTGCGGGGTTTGTGGAACATGCCTTTTGCATCCACTATTTTATATTATACAATGCGTTGTTTTAAAATTACCTAAACTATACCGTGGGAATATAAGTATGAAAATTCCTTACGATGTAAAGGTTGTGGCTACTCTACACTTTTTACCAATTTCACGTTTGATTCAATTACCTAGCTATAAATCATGAAAACCAATAAAGTAAACAATTTCATGCGTTGTATTTTACACGTGTACAACTCATCACATTTTACGATTTCAATTAGAATCTCGCGGTGACGTATTAGCCACTGAACCGTTTATTTTTATGACTGTTAGGATAATTAACTGAGTAAAGGCTGACAAGTTAAATTTGGACCCTTACTGTGTCGCAGAAATTTAAATACCTGATTTCCTATAGCGACACTTTGCAATTCCGTCAAATACCATCGCTATTGTTTCAGCTAAGACTATGGAAACTAAAGGATATGTTATGTTAACATATATAAATCAGAAGTTACATGTATATGATGCACTTCATTGTTGAAAACATAAACATGTTAATGTCTTTGTTTAACTATTGCGTGCCGTCTTAAGCCAAAAGAGATAGCTTTACACTGGTCTGTGTCAAACATGACAACCGAAAATACTTAACGTCATCTTAAATGCCAACCGTGTTGATTTCGCAGTACATGAGGTACATGATACGGTTGACAAATGGAAGTACCAGTGTTTTACCAAGTGTTTTATTGACTTATTCGCATGTATTGTAATAAAATGGACAACAATATTGACAGTGAGAACAATTAAGTATTAATAAAAATTCGTCGCTGCAGCCTTACGGGATGTGGCATTTGAAAAAGCGAAGATCGACGGAATGTAACATTGTACAGGCACGTGTTATTTTTCTGTCTGTAAATCACACAAAAGCCCAAATATCTCATGTATTTAGACATATTTAAGTATAGGAAATGAAACTATTTTTCCGGATTTAAATCGCGTATTAAACAAATATACGCGATTTAAATCCGGAAAAATAGTTTCATTTCCTATGTGTAACAATCGCGAAAACCTAAGAACTCGATACATATTTAAGTAGTTTATTCATAAATCTTGCCAAGTTTTGCTTTGGTTTCGTCAGATTGCCTGTTTGTTTGTATATTTTGACGATTGTTGTTAACGATTATTTTGAGATAGTGTTGTTCTTGGAAGCGTACATATTATCGATATTCAATTATTAAAATAATTTACTACGAGGTTTTTATTATTATTGTTTTTACTATTTCAAGTTTACCTACAAATCAAAAAAGAAAAAAGAATGTTTAGAAATCATACCGCCATATAGTAGTGCCGAATGTAAACATTGAATCAAAGACCATTTTCATTTATTCGCATCATTTTTAAGAGTCAAATTTTAACATAACTTTGAATGTAACTAGATTACATGATAATGCAATTTCATAATTAGGTGTATTGGTAAATATTTTTATATTTAATTTAGATAAAACAAGACTCATTTACTAGTCATTCTCAGTTCCTGAAAACAAAATTATCTACTCGTTTCCGATCTCTTTCCACTGACAACTCGTAACTACTAAATATTCTTATTTTATAAAGCCAGCAATACAATGATCATGACGGTCCAACGTTGCCTGGTGAAGGTCAATACCAATGTATATACAGCCTATTTGCCTTGTCTTGTCTTCCCATCGTTCGGTGTCACTCGCTTAGCTGACCGAGTGAAGGCGAGCGCTAACGTGTTCGGTTGACGTGGCTTGTCACAACTTGCAGTCGCTCGTGACTACTTGTCTCATGTCGTAGAAGTGTTGATTTTTCTGTACAAATCAAAGGCGCTCGGCCAATAGTAGTCAATTGACATTGTATAATCACACATTTGCATGCTATTTAATATATGCGAAACATGTTTATACTAACACTGTCTCTTGGTACCTGTTATACCATGTTTTGCATGCATGCATAAATACAAAAAAGCCATTTGTCTTATTTAAAAGCTCGTTGGTAAAGTTTCGAACCTGAAACACTTAGAGGACGGAAAAAATAAAAGAAAGGAGCTGCCCTAAATAAGGAATGAACGTGCATACCTAAACAAAAATTGAACGAACAAATGGCGGATTTCTTTAGTGTCGTACCTTAATCTATCGATCAGCCATTATCGATATGCAAACATTTAATTAAAGTAGATCAATATTCCATTTTCCATTCCATTCCATTTGGGAATATTTTAGGTTATGTTGTATAGGAATATCCGGGAATGTCACATGAAATTTTGAATTTGTTGTTTTGCGTTTACAAATACTCAAATATTACGAAAAGTGAATTTGCACAGAAAAAATGTAATTCGAGAGTACATAAAAAAAGAGAAAACTTTGAAATATAA